ACGCCGAAAGCGCCACCACACTTACCCTGAGTTCCTCCGGAGCCGGCGCTGCCGCCTACTTGTCCTCGGTCTCGCTCCCGGAGGGGGTGGCCTTTGTGCGCTTGCTCGCACGCGCCAAGTCGCGCCGTGTTCCCGGGCTGCTGCGCGGAGCTGCTGTGCAAGCGTGTGTGCGGCGGTGGACTGCCCTCCTCGCAGTCGCCCGCCAGCCTGCTGCAGCTCCCGCTGTTCAGGGAGACGTGCATTGATGGTGCAGAGCCGCCGGTGGGCGATCTGCTCGCCGACGCCGGGTGGGAGAATGGGCCGGCGCCTAGCCGCCTGCTTGCTTGAGTTCGCGCCCGTTCGTTATGTTTCACCTCGTAGCTGCCTCGATTCTGCTGTCGGAAAAAGGGAGGGGACCAAAAAAACGGTGCCAGGCGCTTCCGCCAGGCCCCCGTTTTTGCACGTTCGTGCCTGCCGCGGCTGGCCCCTTCGCCACCTCGGCGCCCCGGCACGCGTACGAGGCCAGCAGCGTCGCGTCGGCCGGAGCGCCGAAATGCTATCTACCTCAAGTGGCGTGTCCAGCCCGTCCACCGTGGAGAGCAGGGCGGCCAGCTTGCGTCCGCCTTGCCGACGAGGGCGGCGACGGCTTCCCCCGTTGCCACGTCGGCGCCGCTCTCATCGCCGCTCCCATCGCCTCTCCTTTCTGTTCCTCGACGCCGCATTCGGGCTCAGCAGCGCTGCCGCGACGCCATCGCGTTTCGTGGGGACACGGGCTGCCACCTCCGCGGCTCTCTCGCCTTTTGCTGCTGGGCGTTTCCGCCGCTTCCTGGCCGTCTCCGTTCGGCGAGCCCTCGGCCCAGTTTCTGCCGTAAGTGAGGCGTGTGTCTCTTACCGCACCGGTTCCTAGGTCCCTCTTGCTCGCTGCCTGGCCTGCTTCGGCGCGTGGCAGCAAAAGTTGTATGTCCTAGTCCGGTGCGTCGCGACCGCCCGGGCCTCAGTTTCTAGCCTCGCCTCGTGGCTTTTGGCGCCAGGGCTCGCAAGCTCGGCAACTCGCTGGCACCTCAGGGCCCACTTGAGGTCGTTGCCAACGGCTCGCCGTTGCGGGCAGCAGCTCGCCGTGGACACCACGTTGGTGTCTCCCTTGTCGGGGCAGCCCTGCTGCCGGGGTGGTCGTGTTCAAGGCGCCGCCCTTGCCCTTGCACGCCGCCGCAAAGAGCGGACATACCCTGCCGCTTGGTTGTCTTGGCAGTCGAGGTCGGGGGCCGGTGGAGTGACGAGGCAGCCTCCTTTGTGCGCGCCCTCGCGCGAGCCAAGGCGCGAGAGGTGCCGGTTCGTCTCCGGTCCAGCCTGGTCGCTGTGCTTGTTGCCGGCTGGTCCGCACTCCTGCCCCACGCAGCATGTCGGCCTTTGCTGCCACCTTCACCGGTGAAGGCGGGGGCACTCAGCCATGCCGACGGTGCGCTCCCGCCCCTGGGTGAGTTTCTTGCAGATGCAGGTGAGGCGCCCCTCACCGCTAGCCGGCTGCCCGGCTAGCTGCACTTCGCACAGCCGGTGGCCCCGTGCTAATGGCTTGTGTGCCTCCCGTGCCCGGCGGCTCTCCGTCGAGCTGCGTCTCAGGGAGCCCGGACCCCCCCACCCGAAATGGCCGCCGAGAAAGGCGAGCGAAGCACGCACGCCGATGCGGCTAGCCGCGCAGAGGTAGGAGGCTGGGCTCGGACGGGCCAGCCAAAGCAAGGACATCGGCAAGGTCGGGCTCGCCTTCGCAGCCGGCCAAGGCGACGCCCCCCAAGCAGAGTGGAAGCGAGGGCACGCTGCAAGGCGGCGCAGTGCGGAGTGCCCCCTTGGGGCCCCGCCTGCGTGTCTCGCAAGCAAGAACGACCAGCCGCTGCGGGCCAGGCCAATGAAGGTCCGGGTGCCGCGCCTCCTTGCGGCGCCGGGGCTTGCGGCGCCGGGCTACCGCTATGGCCGCGCCGTCCTCATCGGCCGCACGTGGTTGCGGTCGGCCGTCGCGACGGAGCGGCAACGACACGCGATAGCCAGCACAGCGCTTTGCCTAAGCGCGTGGCGCTGTAAAGAACAAGATCCAGGCGGCGCCTGTTCTGCGCACTGACGCCTGGCGCAGAAGTGTTGCCCAACCTGAGGGACGACCCTGCCCTCAGGCTCCCGGGTACCGTCGCCGGCGGCTGAGGCAGGGGATAGGCGCTTCAACCACCTGGCTACGGTCAATACGCAAGGGAGCTTCCCTCGGGTGCACCTCCAGATGGTCTGCTTCTTGGAAACGCTCTTACGGGGAGGGGTGGCTTTGCCGGGTGCGCTGGTCCGCTATTTTGGCGCAGGGAGGAGGACTTCCAGCAAATTTGGCCTTTGGTGAGGCGCGGTTGTTGCAGGGCAAATCGTGGCCAGAGGCATGTGCGATTTTGCGCAGCTGGACATCAAAGGCTTCATGAAGGAGAAGCACGTGGCCGAGTGGATCCAGACCAAGTTGAGAGTGACTCAGCTTGGATCGTGGTTGGGACAGCCCACAGGCTATGCGGCCACGCAGCGCTCGTTGCAGGGCCCGACTGGCGTCGGCGTCGTGCCCAGACACCAGCCCCCGTAGCCAGGCATGTTGACGGGAGGCGCAGGCTGCGACGAAAGACCGAGCCTAGAGTGCTCAGGATGCCAGCAAGGTTTCATGGCGACCGTCACATGCTGCGGACGCCCTGCACGCCTTGCGGTAGGGCCGTGCGCAGCATGTGCTCAAGATGCCACGTGCGGCCTGGAACCCGGCCTTGCAACGCATTGCTTTTGCTTGCGCAGCCCTCTGGATTGTCTACACATTGCCACGCTCTGGCACAGACCCAACCACTGAGCAGGAAAACAATCAATTTGGGCATCGCGTTACTGAGCTATGACCTCTCTAACTCCAGGTGCGAAGCAGAACTCGTGTGTGCTGTGATCCAATTCGGCAAAACCATTCAAGTAAAACGAGAAACATATGGGTTGCGGAACCAAGCCAACAAAGGCGCGGTGGAAAAGGCAGCGCGGCCCACCATGTCGCCTGGCTGTGCGCCACGAGAATTGTGCAGCCACGACTGGCGACTTTTGCTGCCTCGTTGACGCGCATGGGACGCATCACTTCAGTGCTCCTGGTGAGTTACGCGTGCGCCAAACTAGGAGCATGAGGAAACCATCATGGCATCAGCGGATTTTTGCAGGCTTGGCGCGGCGAGCCCTTCCTCGGCCAGACAGGGGCCATTTTTGCAACGCCTTTTGGGGCAAATCGCTCGCAGCCGCGAGCTGGCCGTTGGGTTACAAGCGCTGCCCGCAAAGTCTGTGCTGGATGACCGGCAAGGACGCCCAAGAACAGTACGCGCGGTGGGTTTGACGGCTCCCCTTTTTGCTTCACACTTGCTGCTACCCATTTGCATTGCAGTGGTGCATTGGTCTAGGCAGGGCGTTGCATGATGCAAAGTACATCATGTATTGCGAGGCCGCTTGTGGTCACTTGCGGCCACCACCCTTTGTGGACACTTGCGGCCTTGCCAGGAGCTGACAAGTCAAACGCCTGTTCTGCACATTCCCACCATGAATGCACAATTGCACCCGCCGAAGATGATGACGCTGGCTGGGAAAAACGCAGACTTGCCAGACCAACTTTGATATGCATACACACATACATACATACAGACACACACACACACACAAACACATATATATATATATATTATATATATATAGTGCGAGTGATGTTTTGGACCAGCGCTTGGGTGGTCATTGCTGACCCATGAGGGTCCCTACCTGCAGCATGGCTATACTATACTTCTGCACATTGTGCATCGTGAGCTGTGAGTCAAAACCTGCACTCAAGGCGCAGATGTCTCCCTCCATGTTGTGTTGCCCGTGTAACACTGAACGTTTCACAAACTTTGGATACTTGTGTGTTCGCACCTCTCTCTGTGTTTTGCATTTGTTGGGCAACTTGGCGTATTCGCCCAAGCCGCATGTCGTTTTGACTGAGCATTTGGCCTTGTTCCATGCTACTCCAAGCTTGGCTTAGAGCACTCATTAGACACGTGCAAGGTCAGCGGCAATTTCCTGGCAAATTCCTATAATTTTCGGACCCTTGTGTTGGCTATGAGGTGTTTCGAGTTCAACATTGTCTTGAGGAATCAAAAGGAAGCATGCTTGCTTTGCTCACCTGACGATGCACACCACACATGCTTTTCTGCAATTGTGTTGCAACTCAACTTTGCCGGTGCCATGAGTGCTTGCTGGCTTACAGCGCGATTCTTTTATGGCACTGGCGGCAGAGCTACTGGGACACTGGCACAAACGTATACACATACACATGCACACATGCAGACACGCACAAACACAGGGAGCACAAGGCAGCTGCAGGGTTTTTGCCACAAGATCACGTAGAGGTGTGTTCACCTGACGGCAGGCGTCATCAGCTTGCTGCCCTCCGCCCATCCGCTATGTTGGCGGCGCTGGTCCGTGCCACTGCAGAGGAGGTGGCCTGGGAGGGTTCGCCGGGGATTTCCTGGCCGCAGCTTCTGAGCAGATTGCAGAAGGCTGGTCTGCAGGTGGATTCTCAGGCGCGGACGCTGCTGTGGACCGAGCTAGCCGCCGGCAAGTCGGGGGTGTTTGTTCGAGGCAAAGGGAAGGCCGAGCCGCAGGTGGAGGATCTCCCGGAAGTGGACTCGGACAATCCGGAGAAGCCGAAGAGCAAGAGATGCAGTGGGAGTAAGATCCTTCTTGACATGCCGGATGAAATGAGGTCGCACTATTTGCAGTTGGATGCTCACCCTGACTTGGCTGAGAATGAGATATCCAAGGGAGCATTGCAGCTGGTGGCCAAGAGTCGGGCGAAAGGATGCTGTGGCGCTACCTTGTCTGCCAAATTGGGGGTGAGTAGCCGAGATCTTTTCTATCCTTTGGAGGGTTTGCGGACCGCAGGCTTGGTGATTGGCGTGCTCCTTCTGACGCGGCCCAAAGGATCCGCTGATGGGAGCTCTGGGCAAAACCCGGCAGGTGGCATGCAAGGCAACATCTTCTTCTTCTCGCGCTTCTTTGATCCGGACCGGGTGGAGCAGACACAGATTCAGATGTTGCTGAAGTCATCTTCCATCACCATGCAAAACCACGTGCTCTCTGTCTTGAAGCTGAATCCCTCGAATGTTGCGTTTGAAAGTGACTTGCGGGCAATTCTCGGCCAGACCGTGGAAGAGTCATCGGGAGGCGCGGCCATCCCTCGCCGTACCATTGGGAAGATCTACCATCGGATCAGAGCAGATCTGGTTTCCAAGGGGGATGTGGAATGTGTGCGCGCCTGGGATCCCAAGACCTCGAACTTGAGAGATGCCTTGTGCATCCCAGGGAAGGCTGCTGGCACACAGAAAGTGGAGCCAGTCCTGGCGATCACGGAGGGCAAAGAAGACGAGAGGCCCGCAGTGCAGCGCCAGCGGGGAGTGGCAGACCACCTCCCAAGTTCCCTCCCCGTGCCACCAGCTTCCAAGGCGACTCTCCGGGTGGCGGGACGCTCATTTGCCCAACAAGCCGAGGACTTGATCCGATGTCGCTTCCCCAGAATTTGCACCGCTTCTTTGTGTTTTTTTTTGGCTTTGTTGGGGTCCCCTTTGTTTTGCACTAGCCAGGCAACAAAACATGTTTCTTGCTGGGGTCTTAGTTCCAGCCAAGGTTGTAGTAAGATTGGCAACGGCATCACAAGCCCCGAGATTGCAGACAAGCTGGGGATTCGCCGCAAGCATGGTGAGCGAGTCTTGAGCGATCTTTTGAAGCGCCAGCGGGTGACACGAATATTCGAAAGTGATGGGAAGACTCACTTGAACCGCTACTTTGATGCAGTCACACACCAGTCTTTGAAAAGGACTTTGCCCATTGAAGATGGAAGGCCACCAAAAGCACGCAAAACTGCCGACAAGCCTGCTGAGAAGCGTGTTGATGTAACCTTTACCCGACGGAAGCAACGTATTGAAGTCTTGCTGAAAGAGCGAGGTGTGTTGACGCCTTGTGACATCATAAAGCTCGCATTAGATGATGATGCTTTGGGCAAGATGGACCGCAAGACGCCTGGCAAGATCTTTCAAGAGATTGCAGCTGCAGACAGCAAGGTTGGGCTCACGCTCAGTGAGGCGGACAAGGTCCAATTCGCATTTTGGAAGCCGAGTCATTCTGAAGAATCTGCAAAGCAAGTGGTGGATGCTAACATCAAGGCTCAGCATGACGCGCGCTTCCAGAAGCTTCGGCATGCACCACAACTTGCACTCACTGATGGGGTGGCAGACGTGCCGGCGGCAGCGGCTCCGCCAGCAGCTTCCCCTCGCAGCATCAGCAGACGAACCTTGGCCAAAGACATTACGGCCAAGGATGGGAATTTGCGGCGCTTGGGAGGCTTGCACATGCTCACAACCCCACAGAAGACCATCGACCAGCGCATTTTGCAGCATTACGGTTTTCAGACCGCTGTTGTTGCACGACTTCAGCTACTGCATGGGTCGCTACTGCGAAAGAGTGACTTTGATTTTGATGCATGGTGGACTCCTTCAAAGATTGTTGATGACATGGACTTGCATGTTTTCCTGCAGGTGGTTGGGTGTGGAGCGTATTGCCAGCAACTGGAAGACATTCTGGTGAGCGGCAAGAACCCTGTGGTTCGGGAGATGCCAGAGGAGTTGCGGAAGATCCTTCTCGGGCGCATCTCGGCCTCCGGATCGCTTCGTGCCTTGCACACGATTCGCCGCCATATGGCGCAATTAATGAAGATGGGTCTAGCAACATCGGACGAAGATCCCGGAGCCAGCAGCGTAGCCCCGATCAGGTACCAGCTTGCCCGCAGGTTGCAAGTGCCAACTTTTGCTTCGTCCGTTCAAGAGGCTCCATCCTTCGCTGGGAGCTTCGATTTGGCCGAGCCCGGCGCCGTTGACGCTTATTGGAGCTGCTTGCAGGAGCAAGTGAACGCTTGGCGGGGCGCAAGCGGTACACAAGCTCGAGAGGATGGTAGTGATTCCTCTGAGGCAGAGAAGCGCAAGTCCCGGGCACCCGTCACCTTGCCCGTGAACGCCATGCTTCCGGAACTGTTCAAGACACGAAACTTCCCCAGCATTAGTTCCCCACTTTTTTTTTTGGCCTTTTGGGGGCTCCCCTTGTTTTCCACCGCCGGGCAAAAAAAAAGAAAAAGCACCAACACATTTGCTGCTGGACTTCCGAATTGAATTCCAAGGAAACTGGATCCATTGGGAGTCAGCATGGCTGGGTCCACACCAGCGGGCGGCCATGAATGATTTCTACAACGAAGCTCACGCCGGGCAAAGCGGGGAAGCTGCGCGCGGTCCCGGACGAGTCTTTACACCGAAGTCGCCTGAGATCATGGCCTTGAGCCGCCGTATCCTGGTTGCCCCAGACAGGATCATCAAGTACTGCCGCCATTTGCTTGCGGTCTGCCCCCATCCTTCAGGAGCCTCTGTTGAGTTTTCATCATTGCTTGCCGTTCGATTCAAGTGTCATATTTGTGGGTATCTCTGCTACCAGAGTACAACCATTGCAGAACATTACTCGAAGACACATTCCGAGCCATTGCCCGACGATGACAGCAAATTCTGTGAGGCAGACTTTTACGCTCAGCGTTTGGAGCAAGCCCGGCCAACAAGAACCGACGGCAAGCAGCGTTGGCGGAGAAGGCGGTTGGACCGTGTTCTGATTCAACCATGGCCTGAAGCTGGCAACGCGGATGGCGATGAGGAAGACTGGGGCGCAGAGCCAGCAGACGACTCGACTTGGCTGCAGCTTTTGGCTTTTGCGGAGACTATGGTTTGCGCTGAGCACCATGCGAAGGGTGAGGTTCTGCCAAAGCGACCTGTTGGCAGCGAGGCGAGGACAGACGCCTCAACATGGCCTCTACTTACACGGCTGTCCGGTCGCTCAGCTGCGTACTGTCGAAATCGATTGCGAGGACTTTTGGACCGTGATGTGAAAAACCGGCGGGCTGTGGCCGCAATCAGGACTGCTGAATTGCAAGCTGAGGGCACGCTGACACTTCTCGGGATCAAGGGGAGCATGGGCCGTGCTATTGCAAAGTGTCTTCTGTTCACACCGCATGAGGTGACATCATTTTGGTGGAAGCCAGGATTTCTCAAACCAGATGTGAAGAACATGCTGAACTGTGTGCTGCGACAGTGGCAATGCAATGGATTCGTCAGCAAGTACAAGGAAACCATGTTTGGAAAGAAGATGCCCAGGCGTGCAAGACCATCATGGCTATTGACATGGTTTAGTCGGAGTCGCTTATTTGGCAAGGGGAATGATGTCCCCCGATGGAACGATGTGCTTTGCATGCTTGCCACTTCCAAGCAGCCTCCCAGCCACATGCTGCCCGAGTCATCAGACGGTGCTCAGCTCCTGATTCTTTCTGATGCCGTAGCTGCCAATGCTGCCACTCTTTGTGCAGTTTGGGGGGATGATGACTTTTACAAGCAAGCTGTTTCTCGGCCACCCTCCTGGCACTCACAGGTTCAAGACAACTCAGATGAGGATGAAGAAGAGGCTGAGACGAGCCAAGCTTCAAGGCCCAGTGGGATCCAGTCGCACCTGCAGGCGACCAGCGACGAGCCGACGCTGCAATCGATGCGTGTGCTGTGCGGGCCCTTGAAAGCGAACCCCGGGCTGGCCGCTTTCTTGAGTTGGCTGATGCTGCGGGAGGAGGAGAGCGCCAAGATTGTGGGCGAAGGGGTCGAGCCGATCAATCCACAGATGGCCTTTTGTGCGAGGGCCGACGAGAAAGAGGCAAAGGAGAATTCGAATGGCGAGGAAGGCGAGGAATCCGAAGATGAAGCAGTGCAGGGTGTGGCAGCAGGCAACGCTGCGACTGCTGCAGAGCCGGAGCCACCCAGTGGATCAGGTGGGTCTGGACCTGACCCGCTTCAAAAGGTGCCTTTCACTTCGTTACAGGCTGCTTTCCATGCATATGCGCGAGGCTTGATGGGTCACTTGCCCAAGACATCTTCGCAAGAACTGCTGGATTCAGCTGCCTTTCTATTGAAAACAGTGGCTGACGCAAAGGCTTCTCGTGATGGTAGCGAGGGCGGTTCAGAGCTTTTACCAGGGCTGGCTTTGGCTGAGCTGCAGGAAGTGCACAGGCAAAAGTTTGGCGCAAGCACTTCGCCAGAATCGAGATTCAGTGGGGCGATGGCTTGCCTGGAGGATCTTAGGCTTTTGACCCCGATCCCATGTGGAGATGACTTTCGGCCCATTCTGGCCTGTATCGCAGCCCCATATTGCGTACGCCATGTTGAGGAGCCAGCAAGGGCCCCGAGCAAACTCGCTTTGGATTTGGTGGCCAGGATGAAGGTTGGCAGGCACTGGCTGCACCCATACGGCAAAGGAGGCTCGAACCCGAAGGCTGCGGCCTGTGTGATTCACGTGGCTTTCGGCTCGCTGGAGGAAAGTGGGATGCTGCTGGAGCGCTGGCTGTTGCCCGCCAACCTGGTAGCACCCTGTGCCTGGGTGAGCGCCAAGGGGCAATTGAATGTTCTTGTCCTACGCTGCCTGCTGTCACGACTGCTGCAGCTTCTCATGCGCAACCCCCTTTCCACGGCCGCAGAGCGGCTCGGTTCGAAAAAAAGAAGAAGCCGGAGACATCTCTTCGATTTTGAACGGGCGGGGGGGTGGAAGCAAAAAGTTGGTTCCTGCGAGGTTGACACAGCACCTGGCTGTCCTGGACATCTGCGAGGTGGAGTACCTTCTCGAGTTGGCGTCTGGCGTGGGAGCGGTGGCAGCCGGGCTGCATTTAATCCGAACAGGCCCAAAGAAGGACTTGAAGGGTGGCTGCGACCATGGGGTATGGGGGTTTGACCATGGCACCCATGCTTCCCTTTGGTTATTTTCTTGCAGTCCAGGACGAATCAAAGGCTTTTAGTGCTCACGGCTGGCGCCATGCCAGGAGAGACGCTTCAGCGATCAGGACGCAACCACCAAGGCCAGGCTCGAGTTTTTTTTTTTTGTTGCTGTGCTGTGCCCAGAATCCTTGTTGCAGGTGAGCCGGCCACGGTACAGATGTGTATTCTTGAGACGTGCAGAGAAAAAGGCAGAATGCTTGCAATATGTTGTCACATGAACTTGCGGCTGGTCATCATGAAACGCTCTTTGATCTTGCCTGCGGTTGTTGCTTTGCTCAGTTTTTTTTGGGCAGTATTCGCCAAGGTGAGCCTGGTGTACTTATATTGGGGCAAAGCAAGTTGTCAATGTGCTGGTGATGCCGGCCAGCACTGCTATTGTGAGGGCTGATGTCCGTGCGAGTGATGCTAATTGACAGAGTGCGAACCAAGACCACGGTCAGCAATTCTTGCGACAGCTGGCGTGGTCTTTTGTGCCTCGTCGCCATTTCCAATAAAAAGCGCATGCGTGCAAGAATGCCAGCGCACACCCATGCTGTCTGCATTCCGTGCCTCGCTTCCATCCTCCTTTCCTCCCTGCAGACAACGGATGCGCAAGTCGGCATGCTACAACCGCAATTTCACAAACGCACAGGCACAGCTTGTTTCAACTTTGCGGACATTCGGCACTGGCAGTAGTGTCAGTCACACAAGAGAAGGTGACACGCTGTTTGATATTTTGAGGAACCACAATGCACAAATCGTTCAAGCGCTTGATGACCCAGTCAGACTCTTCGGAGCGTCGGCCCTTTATAAATATGGACAGTGGCGTGCTTTGTCCTTCTTGTTTTGCGAGGTTTCCCGCTGAGAAACAGCCAACCCCCTCAACACAAGATTCTTTTTGCTGCAAGGGTGTTCCCTTTGCTCCATGCCCTGCATGTCGACTTGACTTGCTCGGACTCGGGCCGGGTTCACCAGGGGTTGCCTATCAGATATGGGGCTTTTTGCCCGGTTGCTCAACCGGCTTTTTGCCCGGTGCGGCTCAAGGGTTCAGTCGCATGATTCCTTATGACGAATCGCCCTCCGGCGCCGGGGACCTATGACCCAAGGGACTGGAAATGCCCCAACTGCAAGACGCTGAACTTCAAGAAGCGGAAGAATTGCCTCTCCTGCGCCAATGAGCGACCACCACAGACCCGAGAGCAGGCTATGCCTGATTGGCGGACGGGGAAGAAGGATTGTGGCAACAATGTCAATGCAGACTGGACTTGCCGGCCCTGCGGGAGATTCAACCTCGCTGTCGACCGATTCTGTCTTTCTTGTGCCTTGGCAGAACTCAGCTTTCCAGAAAGGGCAGCTTGACTCTCGTGCGCAGAATGTGTGGCTGCCAAGGCAAGAAGGAGAATCCGAACTGGGTGGATGTCGCTACCCTGACAGTAGAGGGCCGGTCTGGTCGCCTTGGTGGGCATTTTGATCGGCCAGATCCTGACGACGCTTGGTGGCAGAGATTTTTTGCCTGGAAATCACGGCGGCTTGAACAGATTGGTCTTGAGGTTTGTGCAGTAGTGAGTTGAGCCATTTGCAAAAGCCGCCGCTGCACGGATCGTAGAATGGACATGAGGGGTGGCCTTCAGAGGCATGCCCTGCTTGAAGGCCTCGAGAGTGTTTGAAGGCCTCTTTCGCGGGCAGGCTGTCATGAGAAAGTTGTGTGGCGCCGTTTCCGGCCGAGGCTTGTTTTGGGCTGGCATAGTAGCCGAGAAAAGGGCCAGAAACATCAGGCAAACCGAGCTCCTGCTTGGCGGCTGGCTCCTCCCGCGATCCCCGCTGGTTTTGCAAGCCATTGGCTCGGCCGGCGAGCTCCGCTCGCCCGGGCTTCACAGGCTCTGTTTTTGAAGGCCACAAAATAAAATCCGTTGAGCCGCGGAGCCGCGCTTTACGTTTTAGACTCTGAAGACGTTGGCGCGCGGAAGGTTTGATGGTGGGAACCTTCCAGTTCTTGAGGGCCTGATTTCAGTGCCAATGCTGAGGAGCCGAAGAAGGAATGGAATTCGGATGATGAAGAGTACGACGAGTTTGGGAGGAAGAAGCGCCGAGGCGAGTCAAAGTCGAACCTAAGGTCTCAGTCCAGTGCCCTGGGGCCCTGGAGGGGGGGGGAGAAAAGTGCAGGTGTGAAGAGCAGCAGCGACAAGCAGAAAGCTGCGCTGGAGAGGCTGAGAAGGACACCGGCGATGAAAACATGCCAGACTTGAGCATGACGCCTGCAGGAAAGCCGGCGGAGCTCCCTCAAGGAGCCGCTCTCGGTGATCCGTGTTGCTTATTTTGCATTGAAATGATTCCATGTCAACACTAGGTTCACCAATGTGGCTTCTGGTTTGGATGATGCGTTCCGTAACATTCACAATCCAGCACATTTAGCAAGCACCATGCAATAATGCAGTGAAAGAGTTTGGTAGTTCTCACCTCGGAATTTGCTTCGAGTTGCCCGAAAAGGACTGGCAGCAGCTGGAATTGTTGAGGGTTTTGGGTGTCGCTGGGCGATACTGATGTGCAAACAAGCCACGCGTTCTTGGCGCCGCTATCCCAGCGAGGCATCCAGATTGAGTTGGGGGACTCGCAAGCACCAAGCCACCTAGCATTCTGAAGAGAACAAGCATGGCCAGCAAGCATGTGCACACACAAACACAAACACACGCCATACAGGTATCCTTGAAGCTTGTAAGTAGCATGGACCTGCTGCCACGCGCAAGCCCCATTCGCAGCGAGGTGGCTGTCCGGGGCCAGCCAAGTCGCACCAGCCGCACTTCCGAAAGTCATAGCCATCGCTGCTTTCAAAGGCCTTCTGGTGGACGGAACACATGTTTCGTGGCAGGTGCGGCGGTTGGGTTTTCCTGCGCAAGTCGGCGTGTTCATGCACGAGGGCGGCACGCAAAACAGCATGCACAGCCAGATGATGCAGATGAAATGCCTCATTATTTTCCCGGAACAATTGATTTGACAGTGGCAGATGATTCTCTCGATGCTGAGATGGCTTCCGCCTCCGGTGACTCTGAGGAGGACATCTGCGAGCTTATAGGCTTTGACATGGGGGAAGGATTGAATACCGAGCTTGCGATGCCGTTCAGTGAAGAAGAGTTGCGTGAGGCTTACGACAACAGTGGCTTCTTTGCCGCCCAGCCTTCCAAGCAGAAAGCGGCCATGTGGCTCATTGGTCCAAGCGCATGTGGGAAGTCCACCTTGGCCCCAAGAGCGGCCAAGTGGGCTGGCATGGAAGACCGGGGCTATGTGACCGTGGACGGGGAGGCCTTCCGCGACGCGCACCACGGCTACAAGGCGGCCATTGAAGAAGGGCATCAGCATGGCTGTGTCTGGTGGGGTGCCTACTTGGGCATCCGCGAGAATATCAATGATGAGAAGCAGCAGCTCTTGGAAGAGGCCATGCGCGACGGGAAGAACCTGCTGATTCCGAGCACCTGCCTGCGGCGGGAGCAATGCGTGGATGTGACCAAAGACTTGAGACGTGCCGGGTACACCATTCACGTGGTGGGGGTTTTTGGCGAGAAAGAGACGATCATGGGCCGAGGCCGAAAGAGAGCTGCAAACCAGGGCAAACGTTATGACCCTAGAGAATTTGAGCTTGCACTCATGATGTTTGCGCCGATGCTGCGTCTTTGCACGGGGATGTGGAGAATGGTTTGCACCACTGAGCCTGTTGACACGCAGCAGGACTTTGGTGGCGAAGGGCCCTTGACAGAGAAGCAAGTGAGAGAGATATGCGAGAAGGTTTTCAGCATGTATCAGGATGAGGCCAAAGCCATGTACCAGGAGACCGAAGCATGCAAAAGTGTTTAAACATAACATTGTCCCCGTGGCATCGCGCAACGAGCGGCGGTGCCGCGGGGAAAACGGTTGGAGTCCTTTTTGAAGCGTGAGGCATGACAGTTTTCCTTGCCGAACTCTTTGGGCGGGCCCACAGTGCTTGCCAAATTGCAGCAGATCAGGGGAGCGCGTCGCGGATCAGCGCCGAAGCATCCGAGAGTTGCAAGTTGCAAGGTTGCCAGTTCTGATGCCCAAACCCTAAGAAGCCACTGGCCGTAATTGACCGATCTTTAGATGTTGGATGCTCTAGACTGTTGGGTGGTGTTGCCTTGCACGAACTTTCACGCCTTACGCTTCGCTTTTCGCGGCTCCAAGTTGGGACCGGACATCTGCGCAGCCCGATGTTCATGAAAGTTTTCTTGCGCTTTGTTCTGAGATGAACGCCCACCAGGCAGGAATAAGTCAGGCTAGCTTGGCCTATAGCAGTAGTGCTAGAAGCAGCCATTAGCTAGTCTGGCCCAACACAATGGCGGCCGAGCTGCAATTTCCAGCAGCTGCAAGCTCTCTTCTGAGCACCCTTGGGGTACAGTGTTGCGATGCATCGGACGTGGAGTACAGAGTTGTAGACCACTGCGACGCGAAGGTGCAACTAGCAGCAACATTGTCAGAGCTTGCCCAGGTGAATGCCCAGCTCGAGGTGTTGCAAAATCGCCCGGACAGCGATGCGTTGGAGCAAGCCCTGCAGACCCGCGAGAAGTTGCAGAAGGAGGTGGAAGAATTAGAGCTCCGCATCAGCAGGTCTTGGACACGTCAGCTCAAATCGGGGGCAGTTGATTTGGAGATGGCAGAGGAGCATGAACAGGACAAGGCGCTATTGATTATTTTGGGTGTCCACGGCTCTGGGATTTTCACCTGGGTATAGGCAGCATTGAAATGCGAAGCAGCCATAATACAGAGGCATGCATTCCAGCAAACGCGTTGCCAACAAAATACACACGACAACAAAAACAAACAATCAACATACAAAAATATGATAAGCAAAAAACCAACCAACCAGCCAACCAACCAACCAACCAACCAACCAACCAAAAAACCATTTAACCAAACAACCACATTTCGAAGCAACCAAACAACCAGCAAACCAGCCAACCAAGCAACCAAAAAACCATTTAACCAAACAACCACATTTGCAACCAAACAACCAGCAAACCAGCCAACCAAGCAACCAAAAAACCATTTAACCAAACAACCACATTTGCAACCAAACAACCAGCAAACCAGCCAACCAAGCAACCAAACAAGCAAACAAGCAATCAAGCAAGCATGCAAGCAAGCAAGCAAGCAAGCAAACAAGCAAGCAAGCAAGCAAGCAAGCAAGCAAGCAAAAACACAAACACAAGGTAACATGTCTTTTCAGGATCCCACTCCCAGCTCCCGCGCCTCGTCGTCAATGAGTGGCAACTGCAACCTATTTCTATTTTCGCAAACCATGGTTCGAAGCCCAGACCCTGAAAAGCCAAGTGGCTGCGGTCTTTCGCTGTGATCTTGGATGGGGAGGCGCGGAGCGGTGTGCAACGTGTCGCCACTACCACACCCTCAAAGCTGACGGGATACTAACGCGGTGGCGCGCACAAAGGCAGTGAATGGGTGAAGATGTCGATGTGGGCGTCAAGATGCCACGGATCGACAGCCCACAGGAGACGAAGTAAAGGAAAGCTGTCTGGAGGGCTGAGACCGACGAGACGATAGAAGGACGTAAGACCGGGCAAGGGTGGCAGTTCATGGAGACTGTTCGGAGCCAATACGAACAGAAGTGCGAAGGATGCTGGTCCCTCACGCCCCCGACTCTCTCAAATCATCTGCCAGATGTCACAACAGTAAAAACAACATCAAGCGGGGGGATCCCAGAAGAATGTGCCACCAAACAGAAATTCCCAAACACCCAAACAAACACCAATGCCGACGCGCTGAACAAACACACAAACAACAATCAAACAAACAAGCAAGCAAGCAAGCCAGCCAGCCAGCCAGCCAGCCAGCAGGCAGGCAGGCAAGCAAGCAAGCAAGCAAGCAAGCAAGCAAGCAAACAAACCAGCAGACAAGGACGCAAACAGGCAGGCAAGCAGACAAGGGGGAGCAAGCAAATAAAAAACGGGAAAAGCACAGTGCAAGCAAACGCAAAGCCAAACACACAAAAACAAACAAACACAAACAAGCACACAAACATAAATAGACACAAACAAGCACAAACAAACCCAAGCAATCACAAACAAACACAAACAAATAAAAAACAAACAAAGCCATGCAACGCAAGCAAAAAACAATAATAATCACACAAATGCAGTGATTAAAAGACAATACAAACAAAAAAAACAAACAAGCACAAACAAACAAACACAAACAAAGCCGCACAAAGCAACCAGACCGGTCATAATCACACGAATACAAATCAATGACATAAACACAAATACCACACAAAAGCAACCAAAAGCACAAAACACACAAACCCAAACAACCACACTCACAAACAGACAGCCACACACAAACACAGACAACCAAACACAAACAAACACACAAACAAACACACAAACAAGCACAGAAAAGGCAAACAACCAAGCTAGGAAACTAGACAACCAACAAACCAAGACACAATCTAACAAAGTGACAAACCAAGACCCTAACAAACAAACAATCAAACTAGCTAGCTAGCCAACCAACTAACTAACTCACTGACTAACAAAGTAACAAACTAACAATCTAGCAAACAAACAAACTAAACTAAACCCAGCCAACCAGCCAACCAAGCAAGCAAGCAAGCAATCAAGCAAAAACAAACAAACAGACAGCAACAACAAATTGACAAAACCAAAAAACAATCCGCAACAAAATGAACACATACAACCAACTAAACCAAAACAGGCAAGCAACAAACACACACACAAACAAGCGCAAACACAGACGCAAACAGAAACAAACAATCCAAACAAGCACAAACAATCAACAAACAAACACAAGCAAACAAAAGCAAGGGAAGAGACACAAACGAGACAAAACAACAAACACAAACAAACAAACACAACCACACAAACACAACCAAACAAAGACAAAGAAGCAGAAACAGAGTAAACAGACAATCAATCAAACAAACAAATACGCGAACAAACAAGCAAACAAGCAAATATGCAATCAAACAAGTCAGTCAGCCAGCCAACCAAGCAACCAAGCAACCAAGCAACCAAGCAACCAAGCAACCAAGCAAACTCACAAACTCTCACTCGCTCATTCGCTAATTCACTCACTCACTCACTCACACCCACCCACCCACCCACCCACCCACCCACCCACACCCACACCCACACCCACCACCCATCCACACCCACACCCATACCCACACCCACACCCACACCCACACCCACACCCACACCCACACCCACACCCACACCCACACCCACACACCCACACCCACACCCACACCCACACACCCACACCCACACCCCACACCCACACCCACACCCACACCCACACCCACACCCACACCCACACCCACACCCACACCCACACCCACACCCACACCCACACCCACACCCACACCCACACCCACACCCACACCCACCAAGCAAGAAGAAAAACGGCAAGTATGAGTATATAAAACAAAACATCCAACACACAGACACGCACGGAAACAATCACACAAGCAAAACATAAACAACACCAATCACAAACACAAACAAAAGCAAGCAAACACACTGACAAAACGCACACAAACGCACAAATACACAAACAATCAACCAAACAAACAAGCACACAGGCAAACAAGTAGACAAGCAGACCCGCAAGCAAGCAAGCAAAAACACAGTCAAAGAAACAAGCAAAAACAACACAAACAAAGAAACATAGAAACAATAGAAACAAAGAAACAATCGAACAAACAGACAGACAGACAGACCGACCAACCAACCAACAAACAAGCAAACAAACAAGAAAACAAACACGCGCACAAGTGAACAAAGAAACAACCAAAGTAACCCAAGAAACTGGCTAACGAACAAACAAATACTGTAGCTAGACAACTAACTAGCTAATTAACTTATTCTCTAACTACTGTAGCTGACTCAGCCAAGCAAGCGCGCAAAGAATGACAACAAACACAACCAAACAACCAAACAATCAAACACACAAAAATTAATCAAAACAAAAAAACCAATTGACACAAACAGCAGCAGCAAACAAACAAGCAAACGCCCAAACCAACAAGCATAAGCAAACGCGGACAACCGCACAAAAACGCAAACACGCACAAGCAAACAATCAATCAAAAGCAAACAAACCAACAAAACCAAACAAAGAAACAAACAAAAAGACAAACAAACAACCAAGCAAGCAACCAAGCAAAAAGGAACCAAACAACCAAACCAACTAACAAGCAAACACAGAAATGCACGCAAAAACACATCCAAAAACCCACGAACACAAAAACACACACAGGCACACACGCACAGGCACACACGCACAGGCACACACACACACACACATGTTCATGTTTGACGGGGGCCGTGCCGCAACGCAAGGGGGCCATGAGCGTATGGTGTTTTGAAAGCTGGGCTATTGCATTCACAAAGGGAAAAAGGATTGAGGTGACGTCGGTTGTTGTGTCTTGAGTGGAGCTTTATGCGCGCCTGAAGGCTATTGCAGATGCTTACGCAGCTGTGGCGAAGGTGGGTGGCTCGGGTGGTTCGGCGGGCTCGGGCTCATTGAAGCGGACCAAATCCATGCCCGACCGGGCGAATCATGGCCGGCTTATTGGAGGTGCATCTGGCTATGTTTCCGTCAGACAACCAAAGCCACGGCTGGACCCAGACGTGGAGGTTGTGGAAGAGAGCAGACCTTGTCTGCCCTGCAGCGAGCTGACTGCAAGTGCCTCGGGGACCGCAAAGATTCCCCAGGTGGACGTGAATCGGCTGAAGCCGAAAAGCGTTCAGACACAATGTGTCTGGAAGGACAACAATCCCGCAGAATGGCGGGCCATGGTCCGGCAAGGTGGGATAGTGAGCCCGCAGGACAACCTGCTGCAGGCGCGCGGCGTGCGGCCGAAGCGCAAGAAGGACAGCGCTGACACCGAAGGCAAGAAAGTCTGCAGGCGTGACGACGTGGACGACAAGACCTTCGAGCGGCGTCAGGCCAGATGGAATCCAGAGCACATGCAATCGAAGAGCCTTGTTCCCAAATGCGAAGAGAAAAGTCAAGACTGGGGCAAGGCAGCAAGATGCAAGGAGGAATCGGCCGTCCGGTTCAGCGGCGCTGATGTTGACATAGGCAACGGCCTCCGCAGCCCCAGGTGGTTGTGGCAGGCTTTGTATCCCTATCAGCAGCTCTGCGTGCAATGGCTGTGGGGCCTTCACAATGAAAAGATGGGTGGAATTCTGGCAGATGAGATGGGACTGGGCAAGACCATCCAGATCATTGCATACCTGGCGGCATTGCACTATTCTGGCGTGCTTCAGAATTTGAAGGTTCAGAACACATCACTGGGATCAGCAAGTCTTCCAAGCACAGGTGGTATTTTGATCGTCTGCCCTGCCACGCTGATCAGCCAATGGCGGAACGAGATCCATTTGTGGTATCCGCCCTTGCGCGTGTGTGTGATGCATCAGGTGAACGCGGCGGAGAGAAAGGAAGCCATCAAGCAAGCGTCCTCGAAACAAGGGATCCTGATCACTTCCTATGAGACCATGAGGCTAACCATCGAGGAGTTGTTGGAAGCCACCTGGGCAGTGGTGATCTTGGACGAGGGCCAGAAGATTCGCAACCCGCACGCCAGCCTCACGGTGGCCAGCAAGCGCTTCAGCACGGCCCACCGGATTTTGGTGTCCGGCACGCCCATCCAGAACAACCTGCGGGAGCTCTGGTCGCTCTTCGACTTTGTGTGCCCCGGCCGGCTCGGCACGCTGCCGGTCTTCACGGAGGAGTTTGCTCAGCCGATTGAGGGCGGCAACCTGATGGGCGCCACAGAAGCCAAAGTTGCTGCTGCCTACCAGTGCGCCATGGCATTGCGAGAGCTCACAGAGCCATGCATCTTGAGGCGCACCAAGGCTGAATGCATGGATACCTTGCGTCTGCCTGCGAAGCAGGAGCAGGTGCTTTTCTGCCATTTGACGCCAGAGCAATACCAGCTGTACGTCCAGTTTCTGGAAACTGAGCAGGTCAGGAAGGCCAAAAGCGTTTCACTAGACCGCAAAATGCTGGGGGCGGTGTTTTTTGCCCTCAGCGTGCTACGGAAGCTGTGCAACCATCCTGATTTGCTGCTGGCTCAGGCAGATGCAAATGACACAGTCGTGGAGGATTTGTGGAGTTTCGAGAGATCCGGGAAGATGAAAGTTCTGGCGGAGATCCTGAAGTTGTGGCACAAAGATCGGCACCGAGTCTTGGCTGCTATTGGGCAACGGATCTTTAGACTTTCACTTTTTGGTTGAAATCATCTCGGGTTTTCCACTAAACCCTTCCAAAAAGTGAGACTCACCTTTTGCATTTTCCACGAAACCCTTCCAAAAAGTGAAGCTCACTTTTTGCATTTTCCACGAAACCCTTCCAAAAAGTGAGACTCAATTTTTGCATTTTCCACGAAACCCTTCCAAAAAGTGAGACTCTCTTTTTGCATTTCCACGAAACCCTTCCAAAAAGTGAGACTCACTTTTTGCATTTTCCACTAAACCCCTTCCAAAAAGTGAGACTCACTTTTTGCATTTTCCACGAAACCCTTCCAAAAAGTGAGACTCACTTTTTGCATTTTCCACGAAACCCTTCCAAAAAGTGAAGCTCACTTTTTGCATTTTCCACGAAACCCTTCCAAAAAGTGAAGCTCACTTTTTGCATTTTCCGCTAAACCCCTTCCAAAAAGTGAGACTCACTTTTTGCATTTTCCACGAAACCCTTCCAAAAAGTGAGACTCACTTGTTGCATTTTCCACGAAACCCTTCCAAAAAGTGAAGCTCACTTTTTGCATTTTCCACGAAACCCCTTCCAAAAAGTGAGACTCACTTTTTGCATTTTCCACGAAACCCTTCCAAAAAGTGAAGCTCACTTTTTGCATTTTCCACTAAACCCCTTCCAAAAAGTGAGACTCACTTTTTGCATTTTCCACTAAAACCCTTTCAAAAAGTGAGACTCACTTTTTGCATTTTCCACTAAACCCTTCCAAACAGTGAGACTCACTTTTTGCATTTTCCACGAAACCCTTCCAAAAAGTGAAGCTCACTTTTTGCATTTTCCACTAAACCCCTTCCAAAAAGTGAGACTCACTTTTTGCATTTTCCACTAAAACCCTTTCAAAAAGTGAGACTCACTTTTTGCATTTTCCACTAAACCCTTCCAAACAGTGAGACTCACTTTTTGCATTTTCCACTAAACCCTTCCAAAAAGTGAAGCTCACTTTTTGCATTTTCCACTAAACCCCTTCCAAAAAGTGAGACTCACTTTTTGCATTTTCCACGAAACCCTTCCAAAAAGTGAGACTCACTTTTTGCATTTTCCACTAAACCCCTTCCAAAAAGTGAGACTCACTTTTTGCATTTGCCACGAAACCCTTCCAAAAAGTGAAGCATTTGCACTTTTTGCAGGGGGGTCGTTACAGCAATCGAGGAGTGCTGATCTTTGTCCAAACGGTGCAGATGCTGGAGATCCTTGAGCTCTGGATGAGCCGCGTGGGCTACAGCCACTTCCGCATCGATGGCAAGACGCCGGTGAAGCGCAGGCGGCCTCGGGTTTTCGCTCAGATTTTGCCAAGGGATTTCTGGGACTCCGAACATCCCTTGGCAAGAGTTAGGACTTTAGCTTTTTGCCAACTACTGGGTGTTCCGAATTAAGCCACAAACAGTTAGTCGCTTTTGGCGGAGCGAGGCTGAAGCTGATCGAGGAGTTCAACGAGAACCAGGATCCCTTCGCGATGCTGCTCACCACTCGGGTGGGAGGGGTCGGCTTGAATATCATCGGCGCCGACCGGGTCGTGATCTTCGACCCCGACTGGAATCCCATGACTGACGTGCAGGCTCGGGAGAGGGCGTGGCGCATAGGGCAGGAGAGGGAAGTCTCGGTGTACAGGCTCGTCCTTACAGGCACGGTGGAAGAGAAGATTTACCATCGCCAGGTCTATAAGCACTTTCTAGCTCAGAAGATCTTGCAAGATCCCCGGCAGCGGCGCTTCTTCAAGTGGAACGATATTTCGGACCTCTTTGAAGTGCCGGGGCCGCCTCCGAATTTCACCAAGTCGGACATGCGGGTTCTCCAGAAGAAGTACCAGCCAGTGTTTCGTAAGCTCGAGCGGGACCACATGGATGAGTTCGAGGTGGAAACTACGGAAATCATGAAAGATGTGGCAGACTTGCCCATGAAGGAGCAGCACACCACAGGCAAGCGCACGACTGACGAGAACAACTCCATCTTACAGACTCTGTATGACTCGCAAGGCATCAAGGCAAGTTTCAATCATGACAAGGTAGAGCAGACATTGCTTGACAGAGGACTGGTTGGCAAGACTGCCGGCCTTATTGCGCAGAGAGCCCTTGATGCACTGAAGCGGTCCTCGCGCGAGCGCTCGGCACACCACATCAGCGAGCCAACCTGGACTGGACAGCGGGGCAAAGCTGGAGCCGTGGTCAAGCAGGTGGTGAAGCAGGAGGCCAAGAGCAAGCTGACCAGCTCGGTGCCTTGGCTGAGCCTTACAGCCTCAGGTTGTTGCCAGCAAAAGAGAGTGAAACTTGCCTGTGGCGACATGTCAGTCTTTGGTTTTGGGCTCATCTTGAAAGCTTTCAGAGACCGGCCAAGGTGTCCTCTGCTGACATCTTGCAAGGTCTGCGGCAGCTGGCTTCCATCAGAGGCATGGCACAGAATTCGGAGGGTGGCAAGCGGATGCCCGAGATTCCTGCTGTAGCGCAGCAGTCCAAGTGCGTCGGCCTGCCCTTGGAGCTCTTCGACTCGGACCGCCACATCGCGGAGGATATTCTGAAAGCTTTCCTCGACAAGAAGCTCGCGGGGCCGGGCCGCAGTCTCACAACGGGTCAAGTGCTTGAGAGGCTGGCTGCCAACATTGCCGCCCATCATAATGACCTGTTCAAATCCTTGCTGAAACAGATGTGTGTTCTGACAAAGCCGCAGAAGAACACGCCCGGATACTGGACACTCAAGGAAGAGTTCTGGCCAAAGCAGGCTTGATACGATTTGAGGAACAAAGCAGAAAGTCCGTGGCTGGTTTCTAACTCAGGAATGCAAATGTAGGCAACGTAGACCATGTAGGCACTGCAGCAAGCCTGCCAAGAGTCGTCTCACCATCGCCCGCCAGAAAAGACATGTCGCGCTGGAAGCTGTCATATGTAATTACATGTAGTGCAAAATGGCCCTTCCTGAAGTATCCCGCACTAAGGTCTAACGCGATGTAGAGCCGCTGCTGGTTGAAACTTCACCCCAGGCAATGCGCTAGGCTCAAAGGAGCAGCCGGTGAGCGTGGGCCATGGATGATGACTTGGAGGATGATTTCGATGCCGTGGCCTGCGAGGATGACCCGCTGGACGCCGAGAATTTCAATGCCATCGACTACATCAACAAGCAGTTCCCCAATGAAGACTCCCTCACCGGCCTGGCCGGCTTCATCGGCCAGCTGAAAAGCCAGGAGCGGGAGATCGAGGGATCCATCCGCAAGGCCATCCGCAGGCAGGCGGCTTTCGGGCACCGCGCGAAGGCGGATCTCGGAGATGCCAAGCTGGCGGTGCGGGAGCTCTTCGAGCGGATCAAAGCCATCAGGCGGGTCATTTGACCGTTTTGATGGATCCCATTTTGGTTGGCTTTCGGTGAATTCACCACCCACTTTAGAACCTGTTTTGGTGGGGATTGGGATGTCACTGTTGGGTACGATTTGGGTTTTGACCCATGGCCATCAGGGCGAAAGCTGAGCAGAGCGAAGATCTGGTGAGCGATGTGTGCAGGGACATCAAGTCGCTGGACATTGCGAAGCGGAACTTGACCTTGACAGTTACGGCGTTGAAGAGGCTCGTGATGCTGGTCACGGCTTTGGAGCAGCTCCGCTCCACCGCCGAGTGCAGGCATTATGACCAGGCCTCCGGCCTGATCCACGCGGTGGAGGAGCTCTCTGGTCATTTTCAGGAGTTGTCGCACGTGGCGCGTGTAGCTGACCTCTTGGAGAGGAAGGCGGCGGTCTTGAGCGACCTGAAGCAGCAGATCCTGGATGACTACCTGTGCTTGCATGGCGGCATCGGCAGCGCCAGTCGCCTGGAGCTGTTGCCAGAAGGCTGGGGGACTGCTGCGGCCAAGTGTGTGGAGGCTTTAGGCCCGGGAATGAAGAGAGAGGTGGTCACGCAGTTCTGCTTGAGGACCTTGGAGGGTTACAAGGATATATTCCAGCCACCCAAAGAAGCATCTGGGCTGGAAACCGCCGAGCGGCGCTTTGCGTGGCTAAAGCGCACCTTGCGCGAGTATGATGACAAGTACAAGTCCCAATTCCCCGAATCTTGGCGAGTTCCATGCGGCCTTTGTGACCTGTTTTGCCATGTTACTCGACAGCATCTAGTTGAAATCCTTGATATTTCGCACCACACCGTGGATCCAGAGCTCATGGTCCGTGTGCTGCTGAAGTCCATCGAGTTTGAAAATGAGCTTGCACGCAAGTGGTCAGATGCTCCTGACGAGGAGGCAGACGTGCCGGATTCGGGGTCGAACTCGGCCATGCTGGGCCTCAAATACCCAGATGTTTTGTCTGCAAAGGCAGGTGGCAAAGTTTCCTCTTCTGCCAAGTCCAGTGTGGCGAAGGACGGTCGCTCAGATCAATTCGCGCCACGCTTTCGGGGGATCATCAGCGAGTGCTTTGATGCATACCTGAGTACCTGGGTAAAGCACGAAGAGAAGCAGCTACTGGAAGTCTTGCAGGCTTTGGCCGTGAATGACAAAATGGTTGGCCAAGACGACAATGATGAAGATGATGAGGATGAAGTTCAGCAGCGGTACTTGTATAAGTCCGCCCCGGAGATCTTTGCAGCAATGCGGGGCAGTATGCAGGAATGCGCTCGATTTTCCACTCACAACACATTGTTTGATGTTTTCCAGGTGTTTCGGAAGATCATGAGCCAGTATGCAAGCAAGCTGTCCAACCTGCTACCTGCAGGGCATAAAGCATGCGATGCAGAGGGTGTGAAGTCTGTTTGTTGCGTCATCGGTACAGCTGAATATTGCGACGAGACACTCCCGCTGCTGGAAGAATCCTTGCTAAAGATCATCAGCTCAGATTTCCAAGAGCGCATTTGTCGCGGCCTCAGCGCTGTGCATTTCTTTCTTGCACAGTAAGAGCCAGGCTGATTGCTCCGTTTCGGGTTTTCTCTTTCTGCATCCAAATGTTTCATGCCAAGCAAAGCAAGCACATGTCGCGTGTGTTGTGCAACGTGTGTGTGGGCGGCCAGGTTGCAACGGGAGGTACTGAAACACGCACTTTTGCTGCTGCACTATTCATTTTGACTCTTTCATAGAACTTCAGGCAGTGCGACTTGCGAACCATATCAATATATCATTCAGTGCAGTGCAAACAAAGGTTTCATACCTGTAGAACAAACAAAAGTACAACTCACCATGGGAACCCATTCGGTCACCCAGTCAGGGCCTGACAGGAGGGACTTTGGCACTGCCTCTGCGGCGCCTTTTTATTCCTCATCAGTTTGTACCGAACGGCTGTCCGGAAAAAAACCCAAAAACACACACACTTGAACTCCAGATGGAGAGTGCTAATCTTTCGAGTACAACTGATGAGTTTCGAGTACAACTGATGAGTCTCGAGTACAACTGATGAGTCTCGAGTAAGTGAAGGTTCGGCTTGCCGTCACATGGTTTCCGTCTAGCTGCGAAACCGTTACAGGGTTCAACATGAAGCACACACAGCGAGAGAAACAACGGGCCAAAAGGACATTGCACAACCGATGCAGGTACACAATCCAGCGTCCCGGATTGCATCACACTTCTCATCAGGCGTCTTCGTTGGCCTGAGTCCTGATGAGAAGCCTCAAGCCCCTGCTGGAAAACCGAAAGAGTGGTGACAGGGCATTCTGTCACTCCGCACACACACGCCCCTCAATGAGGGGCGAGGATTCTCCTTTTCTGCAGGAAGATCACATGCTCAAACCCGTGTCCCTATCGTTGACCAAAAAATCCACCGCGGCGAGGGGAACGAGAAACAGCCCTAAACCGCTCAGAAGACGGGAACGAGAGATCACCACGTTGAGCATTACGAGTGTCGCCATAGAGGACTGAAGCGAGTTGTGAAGCAGCCTGGCGATCACCATGGGAATACGGGGTGGCGTAGGTGAACGTCTCCTCAACTGGAATGGCATCGGAATTCCGAACTTGACCAAGATATTGATCATGCGAATGATGAGTTGTGAAGGACTCCATTCGAGACAGAATGCGCTGGTATCCCTGATGCTGCGAGTCGCGGATGTTCCATGCCTGACCGTGCTCACCAGTGAGCCCATTGGGATCAGTCACCCGCTGCCATTCCCGAAAAGAATTGTCTGGTAGATCAGGTACAGTCTCACCGCGGTGCCATCGCTGAGGCTGTCCTGGAGTGTAGATCCGCACCCACTCCTGATCCTGCCAGACCGAGTATTCGAGCCATGGGTGCTGCTTCGAATCATCGATGTCCATGTCGAAGTAAGAGGCAAGGCGTGTCGCGGGCTCCGATCCAGCTGATAGAGGAACAGGCACCATGCACAACCATGTACAAGCAACAACCAAGCAAGGTCATGCAAATGTAAAGACCACCCTTATTTTGTACGCTGTGCCACTCGCGTGAGTCTAGTCCTCAGTTAGCTCGAAGATGGGACTCGCCTTGTCCTTGCCGCTGTCGGAAGGATTAACGGGCCGGTAAGGCTCGGAGACCCCAACCGTCTCCGATGGTGTGATTCCACGTGATGCACGTACTGGTTGATGAGGTTGGGAAGCGTGACGTGCGCGAGCTGTCAGTTGTTGAGAAATCCCCTCTTGGAGACGAGTCAGTTCTTCGGTAGAGAAATCCGCCGCATCCGAGGACCTGAGGATCGCTTCTAACAGCTGCGGTGACATACTCAATGCCGCGGATTGCGTGGCCACGCTGTGATGATCAGGAAAACACATGGAATCAAATTCATGACCAGCTTGAGGGGCAGCGACTCTCCGATAGCCCTCTGTGGCCCAGTCTCTTTTGTACCACATGGTGACTTTGAGCTGCTCACCGACTGGGTCCGGGTTGGGAGCATAGAACTCCCTCCACTCTCTATACGTGTGCGGTGGAGGTGGAGCATCATGTTCTTCATGTGGAGTCCATGATCCCGGATGAAAGATCTTGACCCACTGGGCATCTGGTTGTTGAGGATCCGGACACCATTCCAGCCACGGCATGACAACGCAACCCCGGAAAGACAAATTGATAGGTGTACGGCTGCAGACAACAATGATTGAAAGCGAAACAACTGCCACAATGCAAGAAAACACTTTTGCAGCACTGCACGGCTCCGGTATCGAAGACAATCTCCCGAATCGAATTGAACTGAACAGACTCCCCAGGAAGGCGAGGACGAGCATCAGCCATCATCTGAGTTGGAGGATGCCGATGAAGAGGTCAGTCCAGCATACATGAGGTCCGGTGCGCCCGAAGCGAAAACTGGCCGCGCAATGCTAGGGTGTGGGCGACCCAGACGTTGGTATCCCCTGGTGACCCAGTCTCTATAATGCCAAGTATAGAAGGATGCATAAGATACCGGTTGCGAAACAGCGCCTGTATTGGTGCCGCCTGTGCTTTCCCTCGGCCAATACACTTCGAAGTGGTGGACCTTGCGCCATTCCCGATAGGTGGTTGAGTCATCCGGGGCTGGTCCCAAGGTGTTCGCGGCGACTGGATGCCACGGACCCGGTACATAGATCCGAATCCATTCTACACTCGTGTTCGCTGGGCCATTGACGATGTCGTAGTCAAAGTAGCGAGGCAGGACCCATCGTGCTGCGCCATACACTGTACAATTGAACATTCCAACCAGACAAGCCGCTCGAAGTCATAAAGGAAAGCGGCGAACACATGGAGACGGAACGCACAACACCAAGCAAGACAACCCAACATGGAATCTCTTACAAAGCAAGCACAACCGCATCATTTATCCGACATGCTACTCAAGTGTCACTCCGAATCGTTCCAAGGATCATAGAATGGTGGCGGCGACGGCTCTCGCCACGCCCCATCCGGCACCGATGAGCCCACCGAGGAATTGGCGTCTGCATTCACGAGCGTCGCGAGTCCAATGGCTGGTAAAGGAGCTCCAAGTCGTTGATACCCTCGTGTTTGCCAGTCTCGGTACTCCCACACGTGGTAGGACACATAGGAACTGGGCGTGACTATGGGATCCGTTGTTGTGCCTCCAGTGCTGTCTTCGGACCAGTGCACTTGGAAGCGATATGACCTGCGCCACTCCCGATACGTGGAAGCGTAGAGTGGGTCCAGCACCGGAGCATCATCGGGAACGGGTCTCCACATGCCCGGAGAGTAAATTCGAATCCATTCCACTCCTCTGTCGATCTGGTACTCGAAATATTGAGGGTTCATAGCGGCAAGACAGGCTCTCGCGCGGCCGCTAAAAGCAATCGAAAATCTGCGGCGAAGACACACATGCAATGACAACCGCGCACAGCTGAAGGAGAGCAAGGCAACTTTTCAAACTCAAGGTGAGACACTGCAGCGAGGTTTGTAATATACGACTCCTAAGGTTCACCGCCGTTGATGCCGCGCACATCTGCAATGGTAATGTCCTGGTCGTCTACGATCACAAGGGGAAAGACATTTCCGCCCATGGCGCAGGATGGCGTGACAGTAATGCTTGCAATTTGCCGATGGGGACAGCGATGGACGGCCAGCACGTTTGGAGGGGAACACTGTAAAGGGCCGCCGAGATCTCCGCGGTGCCGAAGCGGATGCTGTCCGAGATCGTTTGGATGAGCGCCCTGGACTGTGTAGCTCTTCATCACGGGAATGGTCAGTGCTGTAGATCGAGCGGCGTGTGCGCTGCGATTTCGAAGTGGCAGGGCAGGACTGTCCGCGAGGAGCTGAGATCGAGGGGCTCCGTACTGAGGGCATAAACTGTGGGTGTAGAATCACCGGTGGTGGTGGCGGTGGAGGAGGAGGAGGTGGAAGAAGCAGTGGGAAACTTGGCGGGGGCGGAGGTGACGTAGTCTGCCGAATGGGTCTGTCAAGTAGGGCTCCAGGTCCGTGAAATTGTAACCACGTCGGCTGCGCTCCATGGGTCCAGGTAATGTACGTCTGTACAACTTGTTCCGACATGATTTGAGCAACTCAGTCATGAATTCACGTCAGCGGCAACACCCAAAAACGGCAAGCCATATTTCCCTAGTAAAATGGCAATCAAGTGCAAGCAAGCAAATTTCATGTGATCAATAGCGCTAGCCGAATATCATCCAGCATGTCGGGTCGTAGTTGCCGTTGGAGTTCCGGATGTAATCGTCGTCGAAAGCGTTTGTGCAAGCTGAGGGAAGTGGGAGACGACAACGAGTGACGTCGAAAATCAACGAGGTGTTCCCGGAAGCCCACCTTTCGCAAAAGTCTGTGTACCCAGGGTGCATTCAAATGCGGGCGTAGCAAGTATTGCCATTTACTTTCTTGGACCCAAACCGAGGAAACAGGAAGTTTGATCTCAACCGGAACAGCACAGAAGAGCCAGTAAGTATTGGATCGCTTCCAGTAGTGAAGCGCGGGTTCGAAGAAGGCATGACGTCCACGAAGTAGTTGTAGAAATTTGCGACTGCGTGAGTGTTCACGTCGTAGAACATCCTGGTCAGTCGCACCAACGTAGTAGGGTGTGTGCCATGGGGAAAGTCGGATGTAGACGCACGGTTGTTGATGATGACCTGGATCGTGTATGAAGTCATAGAGGTCAGGAAATCGTGCCCGCAATGAGCGAAGATGTCGCGTGTCGGCAAAAGTGGAGTGCATGATTTCACACAAGAGAGAAGCCTTGTAGAAGTGAAGGACTTCAAAGAACGGCGGAAAGTAGCCATGATCTTGGGAAATGAGACGTTGTAAGAAACTGATCAATAAATAGGCAGTGCACCGACATCTATGAATCTCATACCTGTTGGCCACAGTGTGCTGAGAGTGTGACATAGCGTGATTCGGAATCTGAAGGGCAATCCGGACCACAACTAAGACTTCGAGAATGAGGCCCAACCACGGTAGTTGTGTGATTGATTCGTACTCATCAGTTGGTATCGACGGTGGTGGTAGTCCAGGGAAGCAGTATTGCCAGCACGTAGAGAACATGGTCAACGAGTGTAAAAAGTTGTCCAGAGACTGCCATTGTGCAACATCATCATAGATTCCACAGCGGCGAAGCTCATCCAACATGGTGAAAATGCAACCAATGAAATCTACCATAAGGCGGCGACATGGATACAAGCTGCACAGACAATCACACACAAGGCAATGCAAGAACGATCAAGCACAAGATCAAACTGGTGCAACGCAGAAAGATGACGGACGAGTTTTCACCTTGACTCATCCGTGACATGGTTGCCGCTCCGGGCTCATAAGAGAACGAAGGTCGTTAAGATGCCTGCTCATCCGCTGAGTAGGCGAGCGGTCACGATGAGGTGACTCAATGCCTTCTCAGTGAGCTTGGTAAGATAGCCGGGCTCCAGTCCCCACGAAGCCGCCATCGCCCCGAGAGTAGGTGCGTCGCCTTTCGGCATGCGTTGACGCGCTTGAAGGAGCTGCGTCGCCATGGAATCTAATGACTTGTTGCCGTTGAGCCGGGACGGGTGATTGGCCCACTTGACCAGTGACGCCAAAGTCGTGGTTGTGGGCGATTGCTTGAGATAAAGGCGAGGCTGGTCACTGGTCCATGTGTAGTACTTGACAACTTCATCCGGCGTGCTGTGCATGGTGAGCAATTGTGACGCCGCCGGCTTGGACGGCGGTGACGACACTCCGTGAAGAGACTGAATGATCCGAGGTTGCACCGCGCTATCAAACGACTTGCCATCAAGGGCCGCTGCGCTGGCTGTAGGAAGGGAGCTGGCAGGTGACGAGGATGGTGTGTGGTTGACCGGTGGCGGTGTAACCAACTCTGCATCATCTTTCTGGCTTGCCATCGTGGGAGAGGTCGAAGCGCGCAGCGATGCGGAATACTGAGCTTGGAGCAGTTCGTGCGCACGATTTAGATCATTGTACTTCTTGACCATGTCATCTGTCTGGGTGGAAGGTGTGAGAGAGGTGTGTGTTGCTGAAGAAATTGAAGTACCAAGCTGGCCAAATGGTCATGAACCTTGATCCGCTGATTGAAGTCATCGATGTTGAGACCCAGCGAGTTGGCAAGGTCCTTTTCCAGGGTGAGCAGGTTGAGCGACTGTGATCGTCGTAGTAGTTTGGAACAGGTACTCCAAAGTAAGGCCTCGGTGCGAGTGCGAAAGCCTTCCCACGTCACGAATCTGCCGTGAGCGAACGGTCGGAGTAGCCAGTTGGTGAGGCCCCCATGGATAACCTGAACCAGGCGAACGTCACGAATATCCATGCCTGACATGTCGCGCAGGTTGCCATGCGGAGTGTTGGCAACGGTCATGGGCAGGCTAAAGTTGTAGAGCTGATTGACATCAAACATGCCATCTCCAGGTGTCCAGTCAGGCGAAGGTGTAAGCCAGGCTTTCTGAGGGCGAACCGGTAGAGCCGCAGGAGGTCCAGGTGGCGGTGTAGGTTGGGGAGTAGTGACCGGTGGTGGCATCACGGGTGGCATGAACTTCGTTGGCGTGGGGTCTGGAGGGATCGGCATCATGTAGTTGATCGCAGGGTGTTGGAATTGCTGTGTGGGGCTGTGAGTCGATTGAAAATTGGTGGGCATCATCGGGAAATTGTTGGCAGGGTTGTAGCCAGAATTGTGTTGCCAAGATACCAGGTTGTTCCAATCCATGCCCTCCGAGACCTGGTTGTCATTGTGTTCACGTCGGCGTGCTTTGCGAGCTTGAGGGGAAGGGCTCCGATCACGTCTGCGCCGAGTCCTAGACCTGTCACGATCATCACGTCGAGACATGATGGCGCAACAAACGCAAAACCGCAAGTCCACAATCTTGAGAGGAACAAGTCCGTCAAAATGCAAGTCAATGCAAGTTCAAGTCAGCAGCCAACAGCAGCACTAGTGAGACGTCTCTATGATCTGACGGCTGCCTTCCCTTTAGTGAAACCTCGTTCCTGGTTAAATGTGAAATTCCGCTGTTCTATGATAAGAACGTTGAGGTCAAATTTTCCGACAGAGCCGGCCCGGGGTCACACAATGGGTACACCCGAGGATTCCCCACGAATGGGGTGTACACACTTGAACTCCAGATGGAGAGTGCTAATCTTTCGAGTACAACTGATGAGTTTCGAGTACAACTGATGAGTCTCGAGTACAACCGATGAGTCTCGAGTAAGTGAAGGTTCGGCTTGCCGTCACATGGTTTCCGTCTAGCTGCGAAACCGTTACAGGGTTCAACATGAAGCACACACAGCGAGAGAAACAACGGGCCAAAAGGACATTGCACAACCGATGCAGGTACACAATCCAGCGTCCCGGATTGCATCACACTTCTCATCAGGCGTCTTCGTTGGCCTGAGTCCTGATGAGAAGCCTCAAGCCCCCTGCTGGAAAACCGAAAGAGTGGTGACAGGGCATTCTGTCACTCCGCACACACACACACACACACACACACACACACACACACACACACACACACACACACACACACACACACACACACACACACACACACACACACACACACACACACACACACCCAACACACACACACACACACACACACACACACACACACACACACACACACACACACACACACACACACACACACACCACACACCCACACACACCCACACACCCACACACACCACACACCACACACCACACACCACACACACCCACCCACCCACCCACACCCACACCCACACA